TCCAGTTGTCCGTTTCCAAGCTGTTAATTTTAATCCAACTACCCTTATGGACTGTGACCTCAAAAAGTCCCAATACGTACACTGTGATGCTAAGGAAACAACGAATTTGACATAAAATTACACCTATATAGATACGCCCAGCAGTACCTAACCGAGGGGATTTATAAGTCTCATCTTTCCTTCAATCTCGAATTCAAAAAATGAAAAGAATCCCAAATGATGAGTGCAGGTTGGCATATGTGTCTAAATACAGTGGTAGTCGAGCCAGCTTCGATTTCGGAGCAAGTTTCGAAGGAGAAAAAATCACGTTATAGAGCACCTTTGCATCAGAAAAAAAAAAAAAAAAAATCTTTGAAGCAGAATTGCTCCATGCCCCCCTCTTATCAACTCGGTGCAATTTCATATTAGTGATGCCAGCGTGCATTCATGCGATCAGTTACGAGATGCCCAATGAAAAAAAGAAAAAAAGACCAAAGTTAGCAGTTTTATTGTACTACAGTTGGAGAAAGGTCAAGAGTAAAGTGGAATCTCCTCCCTAAACTTTACACTGTAGCAGAGCGAACGCTGTTAGGAGGCCCTCTCCAGTGTTCGCTCTGCAGAAGTGGGAAGATGAGAGAGGAGCTTCCACTTCACCCCTTGCCCTGTCACCAACTATTCGCGACTCCAGCGAACTATAGACCTTTTCATCCTCCCCCGCATGGGTGCTGCCATCTTGGAATCACAAGACGCGGCTGCCATTAGGTTGCTTGCTCCGCTCTCCCCTCCGCGCCTTGGCGGATGCGTTGTGTTCGGGTTTTTCGTCGCGTTTCACCGCACTTTCTTGCCTTACTTCGGAAACTGTAGTCCGGTATGTCTACTCGACGACGAAGACATCACGAGGGTTCAAAGGTCCTTATGACAACTGAGGTTTGTTTACTAATAGAGGCGGAACATTCGCAGTATAGAAGCGCGTATATTTATATCGCGCATTTAGGATCGGAAGGCGTCAAGAATAGTCGGCGCAAGGAGACTATTTGTATTTCCTGAAAGTATCGTCCCTTGTACTAATAATATATCGAAAACAGTTTCTTTAGATTATGTGAGGAAACTCGCGGAGGAGATAGACAACGAACGTTGAACTTGTATTTTATTTGAGGCTAGAAGTAGTGGTACGTGAACATCAGGAGACTCGTTTCTTCATAATATCACACCTACATGTGTATGAGATTCTCAATCTCTTTTTTTGCGACGTAAACATTCGGTTCGTCGGTTTACTTGTGAAGTTTAAAAACATGTGTACCGTGCTCGCTCCCATTTCGAAAGTCATTTAAGTGATTTATTGATTATATTTAGATTATTAGTGCCATTCACTTAATTTATTTTAACACAAATGTAGGGACTTCCCGCGTTAGAAACTGCCACAGGCAATTTAACGGTAGCGAGTCTTAGAATAGCCTGCACACAGAAATAACGTCGTTAATATTTGCAAATCCAGAACGCGGTTTGGGGTTCGGCGCATGCGCAATAATGACACTTATTATTATTGTTATTTTTTTCGTACGTTGTTGTACTTTTTGCCCCTGTCTAAAATTCGCAATATTTGACGCGAGGAAAAAAAAAAGAAAAAAGCCGTGTGCATCACAATTCTTTGAGTCCAGGATTGTCGATGTCGAATAGAGGTTTACTTTCAAAAACTAGCGACGTCGAAATTTACAAAGTGACTCTGTTCAAACAAATAAATATCTGTTCATACAGGTCCGTGAAGTGATGCCTAGCGCTAGAATTCAGCAAAACTTTCCGAGGTATTCCCCTTTAATTTTATTTGGCCAATTTTACGGAACACAAATGCCAGATTTAATTTGACGGGCCTGTCACTTACATTATATCTTGAGTAAGCAAATGTTCATATAAAAATAATTGATTTCCTAGGGCCAATATCGCGAAATGCTGCTTATGAGTACTTTAACACGGTTGATAATTCAAGGAATTTCCTACTCGGCCTGTATGCTCGAGTACTGAATAAAAAATAAAAAAAAGAGGCCGAGACGATACTATTTGTTTAGATCAATTATCTGCGTCATTACACGATACGGTTTTAGTCTGCGAAGTTCACTAAAGGTTGGGTGCCCACGAAAACCAGACAGTGAGTAGTAAACTCGCTAGTTCATCTGTTCTGGCCAATTTAGCACATTGCTATTCAAGCTGTGGATGTGCTTCTTTAGATTCACGTGTTAATCTCTTCATTAGTTTGTTTTTCTGGAAACTGGTGTCAACGCGCACGGCCGTAGACGATGGTAATCTTCCCTGTACATCAGTCAGGCGTCTCGCAACCGACCGTAACCAGATACATCAAAGAAGTTGGTAAAAAAAAGCCCAGAATTTAGGCTAAAATACACCTCGTAGTCCTCCAAGCGGCTCAGTACCACTTTTCATTGGTTGTATGCTACAAGGGAATGATCATATCACAAGATTAAGCAAAATCAACGTAAAACAGCAACGTAGCCGCGTTCACGTTGAAACCGAAACCAACTAAATTGAAGCAACCTAATGGCGCCGAGTGCGTCAGCGCCCTCTATCCGCCGGTGAGGTCGACTCCAACTAACTATAGGTGGCGCCACTCATTTTCCAAAATGGCGGTTATAGTGAGGGTCGGAGATGCGTGCCTCTGCTGAGCCTGTCTAGTGTGCTGGCTTCACTGAGCCACACAAACTATTTCTGGTAATACGAGGAAGCTAGGGTGTTATAAGCGCATGTCACCTCTTTATCCTGAAAACGAAAACGGTGTTTAGCGTAATGTTTACGCAAGGATGAGCGTTTTAATTCTAAGGCGAAACCGAAACTAACCTCTATTTAGATTTAATTTCTCGATATAGGCCTTAATTTCGGATTCTTTCATAACTCAAGATGTGTCTCACATCGTAATTACTTAGCGAAGTTGTTCGCGGAAACTTCATGTTGTGACATACATGTTCGATTCAGGCTATTTGTAGTTGTTGAAAAAATAGTATTTGTGCGTTCTCACTGCCTTTTCTCGCTCACATAATTTTCATGGTAAATAATGAACTGCGGGCCTTTTAATGTTTTCTTTGGTATTTAGATGATTAATTGGTTTAACATTATTCCCAGCACAAGAATAACAGAATCATTCCAATTTTTACAATATGTCCACAAAACGTATAAAATAATAAACGCCGTTCTCACTGCAACAACCCAAAGACGGAATCCGAGTCAGACAGCTGAAGTGTGTGTTTTTTTGTTTTTTGTTTTTTTTTATAGCAACGCGTGACGCATAGGACTTTATATTACATGCAGTTTTTGACTGTTCGTCTATCTTGATAACGTTGTCCGAGTTTTTTATATGCAAAAAAGAAAACAAAATTCTACCTTTCTGGAAAGTCTATTATGATTAAATGGCGTATTTTTGTGATCTTGGCTTTAATTGGGAGCATACATTGCCGCGATTTGTATTAATAATACTAATATTAAAATTCAAATATTTTAATACGTAATTTTTAAGCTGTAATATAATTTGCTGCTTATGATCTAATATTAAACGGGCGAACAAATATGAGAATCAAAAGTGTGCTATTTATCACCACTGCTGCCAATTGCGGCATTTTGAATTACCAAGAAATAAAATAAAAATAGTCTACAATCAATGAAAACATTCTAGCTAATGTGAGAAATCCATGTAAAATTACAATAATTGTGGGTAAAGTATATTTTGCTATCAAAGTCGCGACTTTTGACAAACGGCAAAACGTCCAAAGTCGCCGCCAATATCCTTCACGATCAAATGCCCATACATAGAAAAAAGAAAATTGAAGAAATTTTTTTTTTAATTATTAATCTTTTTATAACACTTAGTTACTTTCATTTTTACGCTCCGTCGTTTTGCCAATCTCAGCCTTTCCAGTTCGAAGGGACGCCTACCTGCTTGCACGTCTGCTCACTGCAGCACGTTCGTTTGCGTTGGAAGCCGGTGAAACTGTAGTGAGTCTTATTATTGCGTATACGAAAGAACGCACGCGCTGTGTGCTGGCGTTAGCTTTGCGTGTTCTATACTGAGAGTGCGCGGAGTCCAAAATTGCGGTCTTGGATGGCGCATGGTGATGAGGCGCACGCACAACGTGGGGCACGCAACTCTATCCCAAATGCACACCGCTTGCGTTTGCTTCTATGCGCTTTCTATGCGCAATCCTAAAACTCTCCAGTGAGGTACAATTTCATACCGGCTGCAGCACGACGTTGAGACCGTGAATAGTGTTCTTTGCATTCGGATATGACATTTCGCGAGCCATGATCGCGAGCAGTTTCGCCATGCCCGCTGAGCAGGAGAATCGGGGGACCCTCACTAGAGCGCTTCCCGTTTCCGCCACGGGAGGGCGAGCGTCGAGCTGGAGACGCGGCGCTGCTCAGGCAAAATGGCGGACGAAAGGAGGTCGTTTTTGTCGTTCAGCACGCGGACCACCACAAATTCCTGCACTACAGCGTAAAATCAGTGTTACATTTGAAAGAAAAGCGATTTTTTGACGGTAGGAACCGTCTTCTAGTCAGTGCGTAGGAATGATACGGTGGAATCATAAAACTAATTACTGGAAACGATGTTAGTTTCTACGCTGCTTACGAGAACCAAGCAGCGATAGCAGACGACAGAGTCGAACCTACCTCCTCTCCTGAGCTTTTTGGCGCTGCCGCTACGCGGCGTCGATTTCGCTGGAGTCTCCAATAGTCAAATTGCCCTTCGACTGCTGTGAAGCTGTGCCGGAAACAGTGAGATTCGTGTCTTCTTTTCATTAGTGCCAGTAAACAAAGATGAGCAGGATTGATGTAAGCGTGCCAACTATAACCATTGAGAAATCAAGGGAGAGTACCAATTTAACTTTAGATTAGGCGTCTACGTTTTGGCTAAGGGGCCGGTTGCAGTCTCCAGGGTCAGAAAATAGATAAGATTACATAAATGAGGAAATAATAGACAAGTCCAGCATTTAAATACAAAAATTAAAAACAGCAAAAACAAGTAAGGTGGTTGAATACATATATACTTTATTTTTAAATGGAATAGGTAGCTAGTCATGACATTACAAAGTAATTGTGACCCATAGAACTCACCGGGCATCAATCAAAGTGCATATATTAACACAGGGCAAAAGACTGAGAATGCTAGATCTGATGATGAGAATATATGCAAGAGCCATGACAGATCATAGTTACACAAACATGAAACAGGGAACTACAAATATAGTGATGCTGCTGATGACAATGTACAATAAATACTATGGCGAGAGAAGCCACGTTTGGTGCAGATTTTCTCGTTCTTTTTTTTATATCTCCGATTACGCTTTTCAAGTGCAACGCAACGCCCACCTCTTTTTTTATTATTTTTCCTTCACGTGTTTTCATTTTGACATTTAGAGGAGTGGGCCGCGGGCCGGGCATCGCTGGAAAGATTGCGGCCATTTCCAGGCCGGACGGAGCGGCTCAGCGGGCCGGAGTTTCGAAACCCCTGCTCTGGATAGAGGTGAATTGGCACGATGCAGTCTTATCTCGTGAAACGAGCAAATCATCTATAAAATATCCCGGGTTTTCCCTAATGTAGAGACATTGTACCAAGTAGTACGATCAACGATTCACATCACCTGACGTGAAAAAATGCAACACTTTCTAACCAAGCAGTCCCGGACCGAGCATGCTAACAAAATGGGAATCATGTGTGAACACATTCATTCTTATAAAGCAATGTCATCCTTCTTAACATGAGCGAGCAGAAACAAAAACTTGTGCTTGCTAATCTTCAGTAGTGCGCTTCGAAATGCAACTAAAACTGTTAAAACTGCATTGCGTTAGGAATGTCGGTAAAATTAGTGCGAAAACTGTGAAGCAATGCCGCGGAACCGGAAACCTCGATTGGATTGTGATGGCCAAACCCCACTGGATTTCTACAGTTGCCAGACAAAAACATAAACTCTTCCAAAAGCCAATTCGTTCACAGCTTTGTTCACTTTGGCGCAATTTTTCCCTTTGGGCGCAGCAAGGCGCAGGCAAGGGGGAATTTATCAAAATGGCGCAAATGGACCACTCCTGTAAATACTATTGCATAATAGCCACTTTAATCTTGAAAATTTTACTGGTATCAACATTCACATTCATGCAAGTACCAACATTGTCAAATTTTCCGTTTATTTTTAAATACACCAGGCGTGCACCATCCCACTTTGGAAGTGTGCTTTCATCCTATGCACGCAACTGATATTTGTGTTGGTTTTAGAGCGCAGCTCTTAGGCGCCCGTTTCCGGCTTGAGCGGCGTCGCCGTCAAAGTAACCGTGCGTTGCATGCAACTTAGGTTAGTCCGCGTTGCATGCATCTCAGGATTTATGCAAGTCGCGTTGCATGCAACCCACCGGCGTTGGCGCAAACACGCGTTGCGTGCAACCAGATTGCGTTTTAAACCGAGTTGCTTGCAACCGCCGGAGTCGCCGGTTGCATGCAACCCGGCGACGCCTCCTAGGTCACGTGACGCCCCGATGTCACGTGAACCCCCCCCCCCCCCCTCCAGAAGATATTAAAGAATGAGGGGAGGAGGAGAAGGAGGAGGGGTCTACCCTCCCCTCCCCCTCCCCGCTCAGTACCCTTCCCTACTCCTCCTCAAGAGCTGCGCTCTAATTCGGCGTTACAGTTGTAAACGGCTTTGACTTTCTTTTCTAAAAGAGCCAAATCCATGTGAAGCGAAGCTGAGATAAACAAGAATGTGTGCTTATCAGACTAGCATTGAACCCTGTACCACAGCCACCTTTACGTTTCTTATTCTTGCATCATATGACTGATTTCAGATTAATACCTTTTGGAAATGATGAACACCCAGATATACTCTGAATTTCAGCCAAAATTGGCTTAGTTCCGACTTCTGGATTTCGCTTTGTTAACAAAAAAAATCCTCATTTCTACTTGAAATTTTGATTGCAGCGGGTTAGTCCTGTTGAGCGCCCTTACCGAGCGCCTGAGCACTGCAGAGAAACAACACCTGCAAAGCTCGCTTGAGCGGGTGATGCTTCTCCGCAGTGCACCCATGCTCGGTAAAAAGCCTGCTCAACGGGGCTAACCGACCGTGATCAAAACTTCGAAAAACACAAATATCTTGAAGCGAATATCGAATACCATTTTATTTGAAACTACTATTCGAATATTCACACGACACTATTGCTTTCACTTGTGTTTTTTGCCTGTGTGAATTCGATTGTGGTATTTGAGGGATGCAAGCCATGTGAAGGCTTTGTGACACAGCTTACAATAGTAAGGTTTTTCACCTGTGTGCGTTCGATTGTGGAGGGTCAAAGTGCTTTTCTGAGAAAAGGCTTTAGGGCATTGCTCACACTTGTAAGGTTTTTCACCTGTGTGTGTTCGGTAGTGAAGGGTCAGGTGGTGACTCTGAGTAAAGGCCTTAGGGCATTGCTTGCACTTGTAAGGCTTGATGCCCGTGTGTGTTCGAATGTGGTTAATCAGGGCTGATGGCCAAATGAAGGCCATTGGGCACAGCTTACACTTATTTGGCTTCTCATCTGCGTGCATTCTATAGTGAATGGCTAGAGCGCCCTTATGACTGAAAGTTTTCACACATTGCTTGCATTTATAAGGCTTTTCTCTCATATGCATTTGACTGTGCACGGTCAGATTGTAACGCTGAGCGAAGGTTTTAGGGCATTGCTTGCATTTGTAAGGTTTGTTGCCTGTGTGTGTTCGAACGTGGCTGGTCAGGGTTGATAGCCAAGTGAAGGCTTTGGGGCACAGTTTACACTTGTAAGAAGGTCTTTCACTTGTGTGTGTTCGACTGTGTAGGGTAAGAGCGATATTCTGAGCAAAGGCTTTGGGGCATAGCTTACACTTGTAAGGTTTTTCTCTCGTATGTATTCGGCTGTGCACGGTCAGATTGTAACGCTGAGCGAAGGCTTTAGGGCATTGCTTGCACTTGTAAGGTTTGTTGCTTGTGTGTGTTCGAATGTGGCCGGCCAGGGTAGATTGTCGAGTGAAGGCTTTGGAGCAGAGTTCACACTTGTAAGGTTTTTCACCCGTGTGCATTCGATTGTGGGCGGTCAGATCGCTATTCCGAGTAAAGGCCTTGGGGCATTGCTTACACTTGAAAGCTTTTTCACCTGTGTGCATTCGACTGTGGTTGGTTAGACTGCCCCTATGTGCAAAGGCTTTAGGGCATAGTTTGCACTTGAAAGGTTTTTCAGCTAAGTGTTTTTGACAGTGCTTGGTCATACCCCCATGCTCCTTAAAGGCTAAATGACAGCGCTGGCACTTATAGGCATTTGTGTGAGTAAAACAGACCTGCCCTCTGGGGGACAATTTTGGAGAACTGGGACATTTCGACGACATATCACTTCTATGCCTTTGAGAGTGGCACTGCAATTCTGACCTGGAGTCAAACAACACTGAACAATGCTGGCACTTGAATTGTTCAATACCATGGGAGGCCAGGTGGCTAATAATTTCATGCTGATCTGTGGTGACATAGCCACAGAAACAGCACTTAAACCAGATGTCCTCAGTGGCTCTAAACTGGCAGTGGATGTCCTCCCCCACCAGTGCAGCTCCTTCACCTATAAAAAAGATGTCACATGTATTAGGGCAGACATGAAAAGCGCCAAGAACTGGCATCATGGGACATGCATATTCATGCAAAATTTTAAGAGAAAATTTGTCAAGTGACGTCAGATCACACGGCATCACGACGTCATGTCGTGTGATTGATTGAATAGAGTTTTATGGCGCCAGAGCAACTAGGCCAAAATGCACCAGGTGCATAAACTATTGCGGGAAAGGGTTAAGGAGAAGACAGAGCTACAGTAGCTGGTGATGCAATAAAAGTATGAACATGAATAGTGTAAAAGATATGGACATGAATTTCAGGTAAGTATAAAAGTTATAATCAATGAAGAATTACCTGAAAAAAAAAACATGATGAAAAAGGACGACTTATAACAAGTGTAGATAGCCTGTTATTTTAAGAAATTCCAAAACTTTACTGAAAGGTACAAGAGGTTCATCTCCTATACTCTGTTGCAGTTCGGCAGCGGTGCAACACAGGCACTGTTATAAGCATTCTACTCTGCTCGCAGATACGCCCACACTGAAGCTAGGATCGGCAACGTCATCGCTTGACCGTCAACAGCGTGATCGACGACGCACGTGCTGGGAGAAGACAGCGTACCCAAGAGGACACGGGCCACAACATCTGCCATCGTCTACTAAAGGAGCGACGGTCGCCGCTTCGTGCTCAGTTCGGCAGCGGTGCAACACAGGCACTGTTATAAGCATTCTACTCTGCTCGCAGATACGCCCACACTGAAGCTAGGATCGGCAACGTCATCGCTTGACCGTCAACAGCGTGATCGACGACGCACGTGCTGGGAGAAGACAGCGTACCCAAGAGGACACGGGCCACAACATCTGCCATCGTCTACTAAAGGAGCGACGGTCGCCGCTTCGTGCTCAGTTCGGCAGCGGTGCAACACAGGCACTGTTATAAGCATTCTACTCTGCTCGCAGGTGAGAGACTTTTCGCACCCCGAATAGTTTGTTTGTATGCACTGCTGCCGAACACAGCTTACCGTGTATTTCTTGTGTCTGTCTGGCCATCATGACTAAGGACGGCAAGGAAGCTAGGGAATCTAGGGAGTTTGCAAAGGCGCTCGACGACCTTCGTCGCGAATTGAGAGCCGACCTACGTAGTTTAAAGGAAAGTACGAAGTTTTGCAGCGACACTTGCGACAAAGTTGAGTCGATTGGAAGCGACGTAAAACAGCTAAGGAAGGAAATCCAGGAACTGACTAAGAGAAACTGTGAGCTGCAAAATGAAAATAAAATACTGAGTCAGCGGATTGAGGAATTAGAGCAGTACCAACGCTCAAATAACCTCGAGATAAAAGGAGTGCCTGAGGGGGGCAATCCCTATGACGTCATCAAAATGATTGGTGACGTACTGGAAGAGCCAATTTCAAATTCAGACATAGATATCTGCCATAGGGTACCAACACCAAAACCAGGCGAGCAAAACATCGTCGTGCGCTTCATACAACGCACGAAGAGAAATGCTGTACTTATGAAGGCAAAAAAGAAGAAGCTCACTGCTGCAGCCCTTGGTTACACTTTGGCTAGGACGACGACGCCTGTGTTCGTCAATGAGCACCTAACACGTCAAAGCAAACAACTGCTGGGGGCAGCTATTGCTAAAAAGAAAGAGGTTAGGTGGAAGTACGTCTGGACTACGGGTGGGAAAGTGTTTGCGCGTAAGGATGATGGCTTGAATGTTTTAAGGATTCTGTGTACGGCTGATTTGGAAAGAATGGCATAGACTTTTAGCTTTTGCACTCGTCATTTGATACCGTTTCCTCACCTTTATGTATGCTGAGTCATGTAAATACTTTAATAGTGAGCAATTCAATGATAAATACAGAAATTACAAGCCATGTTTTTCTGCAATTCATCTAAATACCAGAAGTATAAGAAGGAAACAAGACGCCCTTGATTTCTTTTTTGATTCCCTTCGCTTGCGCTTTGATGCCTTGTTGTTCACGGAAACATGGTTGCGAAAAGACGAGATACCGCCGAGTTTTGCGAATTACAACTGCGTAAATTTAAACCGAGATAAAAAACGAGGAGGTGGAATTTTGATATATCTAGAGTCTTCTATTTCTTTTACTGTTGTGGACGAATATTCTGTAATCAATGCAGATATTGAGTGTCTAGTTGTTCGCATGGAAACAATGTTTGTTGTTGCTGCATATAGACCACCCACGGGAAACAAATCTGTGTTTCTTGATTTCTTTGACAACTTGCTCAATTTTCTTTGTTTAACGAAGCACTCTTTCATGGTTATGGGTGATATAAACATCGACACACTTGCAAATGAGTCTCACGCGACCGATCTAAATGACCTCATTCTGTCCTATGGATGTTCAAACGTGATATCGCTACCAACCAGAATAACAAGTGAGAGTGCCACATCAATAGACGTATGCATAACAAACATTAACCAAACTGAACTATACCCTGGAATTTGCACACAGGACATTAGCGACCACCTGCCCATTTTCTGCCTAAGCCGCCGTCCGAAAAAAGGCAAAAAAATTGACCCAGTTAATTACTGCTACCGAAAAATAAACGAAACAACACTTAGCATATTTCATGAACTCGTTAAGAGTTTTGATTGGACAGACGTTTACTTAGAAGAAAGCGCGGACACTGCTTATAGCAAGTTTTTAGGTGAATTTAAGAAGTTGTATGATTGTGCATTCCCTATAGTACAGGGAAAAACGTCAAAACCCAAACTCCGTAAGCCATGGGTGGATGACGACCTATACAAGAGAATTAGAATAAAAAATAACATGTACCATTGTTTCGTGAGGTCGCGTGATAAAGCGCTGCTGAGTGAATTTAAAAAAATCAGGAATAAGCTTAGTTCCGACCTTAAAAGGGCAAAATCTGAACACTTTTTGAGCAAGTTTGATAGTATTTACAATAACCCGAAGAAACAGTGGGAAACGGTTAATAGCTTAACAAATAAAGACTACGTCCGGTGTGGTGTGGATAACATAACCATAAACGGTAGAAATATAGGTGGTGAAGAACTTGCAAATACACTGAATGAGCATTTTATAAACGTTGGTGCTCCGCGAGAAAGCGAAACTGACAGCAAAATCACTTCCACAAATAGAACTTCAAATATCTCAAGCTCTATAATGCTTGAGCCAACTTCCCCATGCGAAGTTAGTAATTTGATAAAAAATATAAAGACGAGTGTAGCGGCTGGGGCTGACGAAATAAAACCTTTGCCAGTTAAAATGGTGTCAAATATAATAAGCCCAGTCCTGGCACATATTATAAACAACATGTTGCAAACAGGAATATATCCAGACGAACTCAAAGTCGCAAGGGTTAGTGCGGTGCATAAAGGGGGAAACAAAAATGACCTAAAAAAATACCGACCAATATCTGTTTTGCCAATTTTCTCAAAAATATTTGAAAGCGTGATAAACGTTAGATTACAAAGGTTTTTTTCAAAATACAACGTAATCACTAGGTCCCAATATGGCTTTCAAAAGGACAAATCGACTGAGCTTGCTCTTACGAATATTAAAGACATAATTATAACCAACATCGAAAATAAACTATATACACTCGGGTTATTTCTAGATTTGAGCAAGGCCTTTGATTCGATACAACACAATATTTTACTGTCAAAACTTCAGACTTGTGGTGTATGTGGCGTAGCGTCTGACCTAATCAAGTCCTACCTCCGAAATCGTAAACAGTTTGTACATGTCAATAACGCAGCTTCTCGGCAATTAGAAATAAAACATGGAGTGCCCCAGGGCTCCATACTGGGGCCACTACTTTTTCTCATATATATAAATGATATAACAGACATCCCAAATTCCCCACATATGGTGATGTACGCTGACGATACAAATGTTTTCTTCTGCAGCAATACAAAAGTGTCCTTAGAACAACAGGCAAATGATTATCTTCAGGAACTTTCAGACTGGCTGGAAACAAACACGCTTAAACTAAATGTGGACAAAACAAAGTACATTATATTTGGACCTATCAATAAGCACGACAATAGTGTAATACATCTGATATATAATAGCATTCCCATATCTCAGGTTATAGAACAAAAGTTTCTTGGCGTCTGGTTTCATGAAACACTTACTTGGAACACTCACGTGAGCAAATTAAAAGGGGACCTATCGAGAACACTAGGCTGTATATATAAAATAGCAAATTTATTACCAAAATGGCTTATTAAAAACTTATATTACTCTTTGTTTTCCTCAAAACTCTGTTACGGAATTATGGCATGGGGGACAACCACTTCCACAAATTATAGCAAATTAATCATTCTCCAGAAAAAGGTTCTGCGCATTTTAGAAAACTATCAAGGAAATGTTCGTGATTTTTATAGCAGTCTATATTTTGCAAAACATAACATGCTTAAAGCAAACCAGATTTATTACTTTAAACTTATGCAGACAATATACAAAGAGAAACTCTATCAAATGGATGAAGTGCCATCGCAACCCTATCTTCTCAGAAACGCCAAACACAAGGCTCCTAAGGTCAGGACAAATTATGGAAAACAAAAACTAAATTATCAGGTTCCTACATTACTAAACATTTTTGAAGGGCGTACTGATTTTGCAGTATCATTTAATAAATATAAAAGTAACATCAGACACACCCTTGTACACAACGATATATATTACGCGTAGTAGAAATTGTTTTGTTTTTGCGCCTACCAGTGTTGCAATGACGAATGTGTTTGTTACATGGCTGTAACCTTTTGTGTACATATCTTTTGTGATTTTCTTTCTTTTTTTTTCTCTTGCTCCTTCGATAATTTTGTGATTATACGTCAGTGATTACGAATCAATGTCGTACAAATGATAGTCATCTTTGTGTGACATTATCTAGCTGGGTTTAGAATTTTAAAACGTTTTGTGAATTGTTTCCTATTTATTTTGCTTCTTTTCTTTCTTTTTTTTGCTCCTTTGTTGATTTTGTGATTATACGTCAGTGATTACGAATGAATGTCGTA